GTCTTTGGTGTTTATCCAAATAAATCCTAACAGCAATAGAGTTACGTTTATTTCGCTTTTAACTATACAAATCGAGCAACAAATACCACAGAAAATGGCCAACTGGTTTGAAATTAAATGTTGATATTGCATATTCAAAGACCTGCATGCAACTTCCTAACAATTCCAGCAACTATCAACCAAATGAATACACCACAACTCTATATAGCCCAACACCAATGCTTTATTTCATGAATGTAATGTCACAACTTCTATAAAGATAAGACACTCAAACACAAGTATACATCTGAATATAAATGCTAAAAACTAATCCAAACGCACATTTTGCTTTGTTATTGCTATTTGATTAAACATCTGATGTAGAGGTTTCAGTGGCAATTAATTAGTTGCTGGGTACATCCCCCTCCAATTATATCTGACCAAAAGTGATTATTTCTTCATGGTCCAATTAATGATAGGATTACAGTAGTACAGAAAAGTATTTCAACACAACTTATGTGTGATATGGGAGACTTTAATTGCTAGTCTATTGAGCAAAACTGAAATGTATAATGAAAGATTAATGCACTGTATCAAAGCAATTTGTTGTTATTTTTACGGAATAGTGAGACAATAGTTTCAAAACACCAGTGATTTTGTAATGGTGGTAGATCTTCCAACTCGCCAGTACAAAAAACACTAACACTGGAATCTTGGGGCACATTTTGAACCAATGTAATATGTCAGCATTCCAAATTTAGTTCAGTGCTTTCCCAATACCTATTCCACTCAAACTAATGGTTTAATTACGACACACAACAGGTAATTATTTTCACCAATTCAACAGATTAAGGTTTGAATATCCATAAATTGCAAACCTTAGACCAACATTGTAACATTGCTTATTTGCAACATAACATCAACATTTTAAGAGTAATAATCGCACTAAAATGGCTGTTCCTAACAATATTAACAAAAATAACATACCAAATGTCATTGAAATATAATTAGTGATTCTTAAATATATCTGGATTATATCAAGAAATGTAAGCTAATTAACAAAAGAGATGGATATCACAAATAATATTTGCATAACTGCAATTGTCATAATGCTAAGATGCGACCGTTTAATTGAGTTTGAAATTAAGCAAATGTTTGATCCTTGGCAAGAATTTATGATTTAATGTTTACTAAAATGGAATTAAAATTCATGAAACTAAAGCTATTATCATGGGTTACCGATACACCAATCATCACATCACAGGAATTAATTGGCAGCCAGATCTACACTGACCAAGCTAATACATATACAAACAGTTGTCAAAAAAAAAAATACAATGAAAGACAATTACATTTGAAATTCTTGGAAATACAGCTAATATAAAATATATTTGATATAATTAGTTCTTGGATATAAAAGATTAAATATTGAACAGTGTCAAGAGAATTTTAAAAGCAATTTGTAAAGTTAAATGACAATTTCAAAAACTCGATAAATAACTACATATATTCTATCGCCATACTTTTTGACGAGAATCAATGATTCAGATTCCATCCCTGTACAAGATAAATTAAGTGAATCACAGAAAGTAAGTGTACCTAGTATTGATACGACAATCAGCAAATAAGAGAGAAAATAGATAGTGCAGTGAAGTACAGAAAATACATTTACATTCAAGTCTGTTTAAATTCAAATTCAGTGAAAGCCATCAATAAAACTGAACTGTGAAATAAACTGGGTATATGAAAATAAGGACAAGTATTCCTGCTAGACTATGAGTAGATTGATCAATTAAGTGATGTTATCCACACTTCATAAAAAAAATGAATATTTTTTATTAGGATCAATATTAAAGTCTCAGATTATGACGACACTTGTTCTCCAAAATTATATTAGTCATTAATGTGCACATTTTCCTGATAGTACCCTGGTCTACCCAAATGTGCAGGGACTATCACAAAACATCAGTTGAATACATATTCCAATATACAAAAATACCAGAAGAGGGGGGGGGGTCATATTTTGCCTAAAAAATACTACTGGTACCTACTATTTGTATATTTATTAATTTTAAACTAAACTGCTCAATGCATTTCCATTTACCAGAGAAGAAAGGGAAAAAATTACACCTCTCCCCAGCAAAACCCCTCAACGTGGATTAATCAAGATAAAAGCTTCAAATGCACTCGTTGATTACATTGTTTATGCAATAAATTTCATTGAACTGAAGTTGATAGAGTTCACAGACCCTAAATTACATGCTCTTTCGGACTGGGCTAAAAATCCTGGTAAACCAATTGATCCATGCAAACTAATTGAACATAACATCATACTGACTCTTGCAATGTTTCCTAAATTATTAGAAATTATTATGATTTGAATATTTTCAGATTGCATGGGAGTGAAAAAAAAACATGGTTTAAGGATTATGCTACCTATGCAACTCTGATGCCGTAAATATAATGAAGGTTTCAAAACTAAAAAAGAATAAACTAATCAGTTCGAAGAAAAGTAATCTTATAAGAACACACACTAATTATGATTACTGTGATTTTACACTTTTAGAAGCTGCAAAAAAGCTCAGAACAAAAAAAACAAATATTAATCGTTACAATCTGTAGAGTTTAACACTATACTCAAAGAACAACAACATATTAGTGGAAATAACAGGAATTTCTTCATCAATAATGTAAAAGTGTTCGTTGTGTATCGCATATCAGGGATAGTTGTCATCTCTTTTGTCGTCAGTTTCTCCTCTGCAAGTAGAACAAATCTTTAGTATACATGTGAACATTATTGCAAATAACTGTTAAATTGATCCAACAAAACATTTACAGCAAATCGCAAAGAAAGTGTGTGAAAGTTTGAGGAATATTTAAAGTAAATTTAAGATTAGCATTTCAAACAATAAGCTGGGCCACTAACATTGGTCTGCTATTTGAGATGCACAACATGAAAACAATAAATTGGATTGTACATCTGGTTTTCAGTCCAATTTATTCCAGAGTACCTACCACAAATTCAAATCGGATTTTTTGAGATTGGATCAATGTGAATGATTTTCAACATTAAAATAATCGCACCATTATTACCCAAGAACATATTTGTAGTAAATTTCAATGAAATGTGACAAGTAGGCAATTAGTATGCTCAAATTTCAAACCAATCAAATCATTAGCACTGTTCCCAGGCACTTGTACACAAAGTCTAATTGAAATGCAATAATTGTGCCCCTCGGTATATTATTTAATTATTAGTATGCAAATTAGGTTGTTAATGTGCATGGTTTCAACCAAAAACTAGTCACGTCTGTGCCTTGTCCTGGGGCACCCATGTAACAAGTTTCATTACAATGTGATGAATTCCGAAATTTGTGGGAAAGCCAAACATTTTTAATTATTATGCACATTAGTTTTTGATAAAATATAAATAGCCTAATCAGGTCTGCACATTATCTCAGTATCTATATATACCAAGTTTCATTGAAATTCGACCAGTGGTTCTTGAGATACTAGTGGAACAGACATGGTAACAGCAAAGACCCCCATTGTGTACCTCGCACACTGGAATCAAAAACTATTTGAGCAGCATGTTAGCTCAGTAATTCGCTGACCTTTTTTAGGTTTTAACTCAGCAGATGAACACCCAGCATATTTATTTGTCCCGTAAATTCTTAAAAACTTGTTTAAAATATCGTTTAGTAACACAGTCACTCTACTAGGACTGTTTCGCTTTAAACAAATCTGAACTGGTCCTAAATGGTATCAGTGTCTTTGGTAAGGTGCAGAAATTAAGGTAAAGTGAAATCCCAGCCCTAGTAGAGTGACTGTGTTGGAAGTAACAAAGATATTCAAATTGGAGGTCACTCGCTTAAGTGAAACTGAAAGTTGTTGGCAAATAGCGAGCTCATTTGATAAATTCTTTCCCATTACAATCAAAATTTGATTTAATTATTGAGGTGTAGATATCAGCAATTATGTAAAAATCTTACATATCAGGCACCAATTTAACTGGTCCACTTGTTGATTCATCCAGATCAGCTAATCCTAGAAATCCCAGCTCTAGTAGACGACCATGTTGATCAAAACTTGGCATGTCATCAAACCCAGGAAATTCTCGCATTGGTAGACGACCAAGTCTATCGAACCTTGGACGATGTGCTGAAGAGAGACTCAATGATTGGAACAGTCGATCTATTTTACTGTTGCCAAATAGTAGAGGACGTGATGGGAGCTGAATGCCCTTACCACCCACAGCCCCGGCAGCTTCCAACTTTGTATACAGAGTATCGTCCTAGGAATAAAAATAGATATTTACCCTTAACAAATTTCAAGTAGCAAACCAGGTACTCGTCAAGCAAAGGCAGACTTATTAAAATAAAAATGAAAGAAAGAATAATATACACAAAAAGAAACAAGTCTTATGGTAAAAATGATTGAAGAGTAAAGGCTCCAGCAAATTTTAATTTGAAGAAAATCCAGTTTGACAAAGACTACAAAGAGCATGATTTGGCCATATTGAATCAGAACGAATTATTCACTGGCAAAGAACGAACCCGACTCAAGCGAATTGGCGGCAAAAGAAAATAAAAAGTTAGTTTAATTCTGTTGAATCTAAAATTACATTTCTGGCATACAGTGAAATACAGCATTAAAAGGCCAAAAATGAAAGCCACCAAAAGCAAATGTTCAAAGTGTCAGATCGACTTGGCCAGACTTGATAGCAGCGCGAATGCATGATGCCGTCCTGAGGCGACGACCAAATGAAGATTCCATGTA